AACACAGATTTTAGTTTCTGCATGTACTTATTTTCTGCGTAAAAAGAGCTGTCCATTCACTACTCCAAACCTTTCTGCATCTCAATACTCCTAATCAGAACGCTGTAAGTGCAGATTTCCATTTTTACGCGAATGCTGCTGATAACATTGCTTGCTCCCTAGTATTCACAAAATCAGTCTCTTTTTGTCAGCTGCAACGCATCTTCAATGCGCAAAGCTCCTTCAATGACCGATTGCTTGCTTTTAATGGTGACCAAACAAATAGCACCAAATGAAGAACAGAACTTTCTAAACCCATCTATCACATCTTATCAAGTCGCTGAGGCAGATCCAATGCAGATTTAAGAGGATTGTTTTCTGTGTCTTGTACATTATGGTTATGTTTGAACCCAGCATACATCCCTGAAATGCCAACATGCATTTGACGCTACAAGGACGTGCTTAGGTCATTTAAAACCTCCTACATGCCAGTGTTTGCTACATATTGAAGGATGGGTATATTTTTGGGCTGCATGTTGACTCAGTATCTATGCTTACAGCTAATACTGAATCACTATATAGCTATAGTGGAAACTCTTTGGATACTCTTTGTATAGCTAATACTATACTGTCCTTCTTATTGCCAGTTTGACAGAAAACTCAGTTATGCTGCTTCCTCTGTTCTTAGTGAGTTGGCAAATGACAGAGATCATAAAATATTGAGACTACTAGTAGTCTTGTTGTCCTAGTACCTGCATCCTTCTTTGTTCACTAACCGCATTTAATAGCATAACACCTTAGCTCTTGTGTTCACACGTAGAATTCACATTTTGTACATTTTTGTTCTTCCATTTAGATTTCTGCTAAAAACAACCTAAGTGCTCAAACAAACCACCCAGCCATTCTTTTGGCAGAAAGTTAATGTTTTTTAGTGTCTGGAAAATTACCTGTTTCAAAAACCTGAATGTCAAATCACCTAAAAACCTAATTACCTAGCAGATCTAATTGTGGTCCAGGACATTTGGTCAGCTGGTTTTACCGATGTACAATGGCTGCTGGGAAAGACAAGTGTTTTGGTGTTGACTTACCATCCGGAAACCTCTTGCTACGTTCTTGTTGATTGTGCAGGAGTCTCCACCTCTGCTTTTCAAAGATGCATGGATGTATACCTACACGTCTGTTTGCAGCCTTTTTCACGATAAATGTAAATGTTGAGTTGGAGGTTGTGGTCAGCAGCAGCTTATTTTGATTTAAAGTGTCAAGACACCCTAAAATAGCTCATTCTGAAAGGAGTTCAAAATAAACACGATTGATCAGACTAAAATTAATTATCTAAGAATAATTTTGTGCAAAAGATTTAATAAATATTTTTTGGTTGGCTCACACACATCAACATGACCATAGTCATGTCAAGGCTGAAACCAACTCTTGCATAACATTTGTCTGTTTTTTGTTGTGTGATGGCTGTAAACAGAGAAATGGCATAAGAAGCCCACAGGTAGAGCGGATTCACCTTTATGTCACTTCACGTTTAAAAGGCAGAGAAAGACAAAACAAGGCCAGAAAGAATTATGAAAATAGTGGAAATGAGCTGTGTTCTTAGAAGAAATGTAAAAAGCACTCAAAGCCGCATGCTTCATCCTTGATAGTACATTCCTGGATGGTGCACTCACCTTTATGTCACTTCCTATTTGGGTCAGCAAGGTTCCGACACTGTAACAGGTCAGTAACCATGAACAAATGGACATCTCCTGATTCATCTAGCTGCAGATAGGTGGACATACACAAGTCATCTGACAAGTGTGGGTTGAGTTGCTTTTACAGAAAGAGGAATAAATGTCCCAGAAACGTGGACAGACAGTGAAGGAGAGGGTTGTGTTTGTGTCTGTTTTCTAAACTTGATTTTCAGATAATGGACACCAATGTTGCATGCAAACATAGAAGAGCATTCAGGAAATCTTTAGCTTTACGTCAGCTGACCTTATTTTGTAGTTTATTCTCATTTTGCTCCTGCTTAGCTTTGCATGTTTCCTATTTATTGTCTTATGTCTAAAATATGTTCTAAAATATACAGTACTGTTTAAATCAAGATGTCTGAATACATTGTATAAAAGACAAGTTTCCCGTTTCCTGTTTTCTGTTCCCTAGAAAACTTTCTCGTGGTCACACCAGGCCAGTAAAGTTTAGTTTACATTCATGTTATAACAGAAGATGACTCTTTATGACTTTGTATGAATTGAACATGAGTCTCTGGTTGACCCAGTGGGTTGGCCAGGGTCCAGGGTGACCATGGACTCTTTCTCCCCCTTTGGGGGCACCACTGCCTGTTAGGTTAGTTAGAATTACTAAAATTATTGTCTCTATTTGTGCCTATTTTCCTGATGTGTTATTTCTTTGCCTTGTCTGTTTAGTTTATTACTTTTAGAATAAACAAAACATTGCTCATTGCCTTAGATCAACATTTAGCTTTATACTTTTTAGTTTATTACTTTTAGAAGCTGTGGAGTCTTCATTCCCTTAAATCAGCATTGATTTAGAAAGTTTGTAAACTGTGGAGTACTTATTAAAAGTATAAACATTGGTCTAAAATAATAACGGAGCAAGACGTAGAGAAACTCCTGTTACTGTTAGGGCTCAAACGATTCCTCGAGTGATTCGAGTACCTCGATTTTTAGAATTCCTCATGGAATATTTATCTGCCTTGAAGCTTCATTAAATTATATTTTTTTATATGTTCTGGCCAGGTTATCACTTGCGATGCGCAACCCTCTCACTTCCACCTGAGTTGTTGACCGAAGCTAAGTGTTAGCAGCAGTTTTCAAATTCGGCCCGTGGGGATTTTATTGATTGGTGAGAATGTCCAGGTCTTTGTTGTTTTTCGGGGGACCAATAAACATCCTTAAAATGACTGGCTTGATGCTTGGAGTATGGCAGCTTTTCTCCTCCCGGAGCGGCTGCCTGGTGGCCGGTGTTCAGAGGGAGCAGTGGGGAAGAGCGCTGCATGTGTATTTATACAGGTAAGTGGATAGACTGAGCACTGCTGCGCAATAGATGATTAACCGGAAAATTTTCTTCCTGTTAAAGGTGAGTTTTTCCTTTCCACTGTCGCTACATGCATGCTCAGTTTGATGGATTGCTGTAAAGTCAACGACACAATAAAAGCTAACAGTGGAAAAGGAAAATTCACATTTAACTGGAAAAAGAAACACCAAATAAAATATGTTTCAGTTCTACCTCGGTTCAGGCAAACATGTTGTTGATTAACCTGCCAAAACCAATAAAACTATTACTTCACCATCGAGGTTTCCTAAATTGCTTCAAGGAATGTTCATCTTAGTACATCTAAATGTCTGATATTAATCTTAAAAATTCTGGCAGGCATTCTGGTATTTATCAACTAGAAATACATGTGTTTATTCTAACTGGCCTAAAGCAAGAAAACTGTAGCTTGATTTCTGTTTTCAACTATATCTGCAGCTGCATTTGATACCTAACGCAGCTGTGGAGAAGTTTCCAAAGAGTTTCCAAATGTCCTGTGTGTGCGATCACTTAGAGAGAGCTGAACTGCTGAGATTTTTCTGATTGTTTTTTTGGCTTTGCATTGTTTTCTCCACAAGCAAACAGAGATCCTCATCGACATTGTGTGGAGGTTTTTCAGAGGGCAAAAGAAATAAAAAAATAACTTCAGGGTTTGTTTAAGAGTGGTCAGTGGGTCAGTGGTCATGTAGCAGGCCTCGGGCTAATCTCCGTTTCGCTGCTTTGTCACTCTGAAGTCCTGGGATGTCTGATCAGATTTCTGTCTTTGCTGCTCACTAAAACATCAGACTTTTCACAAGTTTTGGGCAAACATAAGCGACTGTCGTCACCTATCTAGTGTTTTTTATTCGGTGTGGTTATGTCTTAATTGCAGTGGTTTATGTTGTTTTGATGTCTATTTAATCAAAATCTACTCTGCACCAATATTTTTTTTTCTTTTTCTGTTTTTACTGGACCAGTGCAGAATAAAAGACTGAAATTAAATAAGTAAATTCTTTCCAAGTCGCCAGTTCATAATAGGGTAACACAGAGAAACACCACCATGCAACACACACTTTAAAATTTAGAGACACCAATTGAGCTAACAGTCATGTTTTTGTATTCTTGAAGAAAGCCAGAGAACCCAGAGAGAACCCAGAGAGAACCCAGACAAGACACGGAGAACATACAAACTTCATACAGAGAGATCTAAGATCAGGACTCAAACCCTTTATGCTGGAAGATAACAATGCAACCAAAGCTGCATTTCCTTTTAAATATGTTATACTCTACAAAGAAAATCCATAAAAAAAAGTAACTTGAAGATATGTTTCACAAAAAAAATATCAGCAGAATAGGCAATGGGTTCATGGTACTTATTTGCATGTAAGCTTTTAATTTATGTTACTAAAAAACTATGAAAGTCTTATGAAAGTAATGTTTAAGAATATTTGAGTAAAGAAGATTAGATGCCTAAAATAGTTATCATATACATTTTAAAATTGTAATTTAACTGCATGTAAAACTCAAAACAACCTCCAGAAAACCAAACCACCTTCAGGAAACTGTTGCTATACAAATTATTTTTACATTTTAATACTCGTGCATAAGATCTGGTGTCCTCATTGGCAGTAATGATGTTCCTCCAGTCTGTTGTGGTGATGGAAGAGAATGAGAGGGTGATGTGACATGTATAACCCAAACAATAAAATCCCAGATGCAGTTGATTGAATGGAACTGAGTGAAAGCAAGTTCAGTCCTGGGGAAAGGCGGTACAAGTTGGAAAATCTCCCAATGAGACTTACAGTCCTGAGGTGCAGAAATTGTATCTGGCAGAGTGAAGCTGCTCTGGTTCACAAAAACATGTCAAGAATTGGTCATTTTCTTGCTGTAATTCTAGTTAAAGCTAACAATTGAAACATATTAGTCTAAAAATTACATTTATTATTGCCTCTGTTAAAAACATTGTTGGTGTTTTTAAACGTGTAATGTTGACCTCGTCAGTGGAACAGTGTCGTTGTGCTCGCCAGTAGCACCTGCAGCTGTATGGCTGTGTGCTCTGTGTGTACCTTGAGATTTTCCTTTGAGTAACAAAAACAAAATTAGTTATTGGATTTTTAATAATTTAGCCCTCTTAGCTGTTAACTAAAGGCGTATTTTGTGTCAAAACATCTTATAGATAGCTCACATTTATGGGAGTCTGTGGCAGTGGGCATCTCCTTAACCTAAAGCTTATTAATCAGTTTACTTTTGTTTATTTGGCAGCTTGGTAATTTTTCTGCTAGCTCAAAAATAAATAAGTGGAGTTTGATTCTTAAACCCTTTTAAGAAGGTTTGAGTGAATCCCGCTTGAACTTTATACCGTGTGCACGATTCTGACTGGGTTGTCAATTTAGCAGCTTTTCATTATGGCTTCATGGACTGAAGACCTAACTTCTGATGACAATGACACCTGCCATTTTCATCCTAAGCATAGCGCTAAGACTGATGCGTGCTGGGAATGTGGTTGTAGCTGATATATTGACCAATTTTTTGATCATCGAAAGCTAAGTTAAAAAAAAGCCAGCTTGTTGTTTTTCTTTCATCAACAGGCATTTACACCTCTTCCTCATCACAAGTTTCACATTAAAACTGAGAGTTTACCTTTGAAGAGGTTTGTTTAACCTAAGTCTAGTGTTGGCACAAAGAACGACTGGCATTTTTCAGCAAATCTCTTGTCGTGTAGGAGGACAGGTACCGACCGACGGTCAGTAATCAGCTGCAAAGGCAAAGAAAGCTTCAGTCAGATAAAATTGAGTGCAGATTTTAGACTTGTGCATGCATGTAGGTCAGGAAAACTTGAGGCACAGCATGCCATTGGATTATGGACGCACTCATCTCCATGTGGATCCATTTCCACGTCGATGCTGAGGGGGTGTAACCGAGGCCTCCTGTCTGAAGGCTAATCCCTCACAAGGACAAATTTAGCGAGCGCGGCTCTTCCTGCTTTCATCTGAGTCCAGTGCTGATGTCACAGAGCACGCCGTCCTCTCTGGCAGAGTTATGTTAAGAGCAAACAGTTTCACACCTTCGCCACATCGGCACTGAGCTCAAGCTGCTCCTACAGAAGACAGACGCATGAATAAATAATCGAGAGCTCAGGAGGTTTTCTCCTCTTCGTGTGCACTTGATGCAGGTCAGCATCCTGACTCAGATGCTGTCAGATGTCAGTGGGATGTGTGGGAGATAAACAGATCAGAAGCATCTTTAAAGCTGTGATCTGTCGTCTCCAGGCCCAAGCCCCCTAAACCAGCACCGGAGGCTTGAGGGTCGTCTGGGGACACCCCGCACGCCACGCTTAATTACCCTTTAAGCTGTTCCCAAGCACAATTGCATTCCCTCCTGAGCTGAGCAACATATGGGATTACAATAACGTATGGGATAGTCATTGATGACTTGTGTGAGTATGTTTATATGGACGGGAGTGAGGGGTGCTACCCTTTATCTGGTGAGCCTGGTTGAAGGATCCCACTGTGATCAAAGACTCTTTGAAACCTAAGTTGGATCTGTAATGCATTAAGTTAAATAATAAGAAAAAAAAACAGTGTTGCTTCTAAAAAGAGATAAAAAGGCTTCAGCACTCAACCAGCTATAATGTAAATCCCTTTTCCCGTCTCGATGGTGTCATGTAGTTGACACCATCAACTACTTAATCTCGCCTCTACCTGAACCTTGTGGATTTCTTACCATTAGTGCCAACTCCTCCACATTCTTATTGTCCACTCGGTAGCCCATTGATCTGCCCGCTCAGTTTTCTATTGAATCCACTGAATGTGTTTTCCTCTGAAATCTGGATGAGTAAAATAATCTGTGCTCTATGCTCACCAACTGATATAAACAGTCCAAGTGTTTAAAAAACAAAAACAAACAAAAAAAAAAGCAGCCAATTTTGGCAGTAAGTTAATGTTTAGCTCAGCCTGTCTCCTAGCAATGAAGGCGGAGCTCCAGCACATTGGCTGCTGGAAAAGACAAATGTTTTGTTGTTGACTTACTATTTAGAAAACTCTACCAGCTGGGTCTTTTTTTTTTTCCTTTTTTTCAAAGATGTCCGGTTGTATCGATGTAGCCATTTTTAAGTGCCAGTGCAAACTGTGAGCTTGGGGGCGTGGACAGCAGCAGCTTATTTGGATTTAAAATGACAGGAGGCCCCAAAACAGTGGAAACATTTAAATAGCTAGTCAGAAATAATAAGTCGAGTGTTAATGATCAACAAGCTCCTAATACATGCAAACACAACCAGATGCATTTTGTTTTTAAAAACTGATTTTTACTTTTTTTTTTCTCCTTTTTTGAGAAAGATTCTTATCTTCATTACTCATCATACAGAAACTTGATTAAATGACAAATTTTTAATTTCAACAGAAATCGACTTTTTCTTCTTCTGTAAAACTCCTTTTTTTGCATTTTCGGTGAGTGTTTGTCATACATTTTTCATACGTGACAATAAACCTATGTTTTGAATTTTCCGGGTTGGCAAATTTCATGTGTGCTTAAATTTATCCAGGAGCTTCTTTTATGGTCAGCAGTTTGTTAGTGTTTGGTTATGTAAAACTTGCATCATGCAACACATACTGGAGAAATTTCTCCCTTAAAAGTGGAACAAAAAAACATAACAAATCTGATATAAAGGATTATATTTTAGGCTGCAAAATCAGATTAGGTTTCCTCTTGTTTGGGCTCAATAAAAGATAAGATTTAATCCAGATTTAGATTGAATGTTCTTTTTTTATTGTATAAAATAAAAGTTCAGTTTTTCTCTTTGTTTTAATGTCGCAAGCTTCCTAACATACAGCTACCATTTAAAAATTTTCTTTTTTGCTAAAGCCACTGAATAAATGTATTTTATTTTATTTATTTAAATCATAGGACAAACCTTTTAATAATTATGCTTCTAATGATCACCACAACTCTCATTAGAAGCCAATTTTAGATTTTCTTTTCCTAATTAAAGTAATTTGTAAATATCACTGAGTGTTGATGTTTTTAAAGCAGGGGACTCTAAAAGGTGAATGTGGACTCTGCACATGTATTCCCTTTGAAAGCTTCATGCACAGCTTGTCGCCATCAATTGTTAGAAATGATGAAGTGATTAATTTCTATGTTCGGTTTGGGGCTGATTGGACAAATCTTTTGGGAGCGCTGGATTGATGGGGTGACTCCTGTTTCTTCATGGCAGCAGCAGCAGCCATGCTGGAGGAAGTAGGCAGAGTTGTACGGCTTTCTATCCTCCACCTCCTCCCTCCCCAGAGATTGGCTGCAAATTAATACAAATCAGAAGCCCTCCTCTGCGCTCGAGCCTCGTCACTCACCTTCCCCCCAGGTAGGATGAAGGAGAGAGGACGCTGGAGCAGGTGCAGCCAAGTGCAGAGCAATCGGAAGAGAAATGATTGGAATATCAGCGAGTGAGTGCTTTTGTGCTTCAAAAACAATAGGTGTGTGTGCGATACAGAGATCAGAGAAAGATATACATATAAAAAACACATTGTTCCAGTTCTGATACATATGTTGATATTGTGTCAGCAGAAACAAATACTTGAAGTTTAAAATCACCAGCTGCCATTTGAATCAAGATTTATCCACACATTTCAACAACGCTTTTGATTGAACAGCAACCAAATATTGCATCCATATCTACATCTATAAATGAACGTTGAACAGGAACTGTCGAGTCTATTCTCATCTGAATCATGGATTGAAGCTTACTCACTGTTTGTATGGTGGCTGTTATCTCAGTCAACACAAAGGGGACAGCAGTGACTGAACAGCGATGGTGACAGAGTGACCCCTTCTGGTCTGATGCCCAACACAGTCTGATGAACTCAACAGTCTCAGGCTCTGCATATAGAAAAGATAACCTTCCACTGCACTTTGCAAAGGTACTCGCATGTTTTTCCACTTCACTTAAAGCACTTTAATGTTTTTTAATGGGATTGTGAAGCAGAAGGTGAAGCATTCACTGGGTTCAAAGGTTTACATTAAAAAAAAAAATCTGTTCAGAAGTACTTTATTTATCCCAAGGCAAATAATTAAATGTTGTCATAACTGTGAGTCATTGGATGATTGTGATGCTGTGGCAGGGAGAATCTCTGATAGCAGTCAGTTTTGCATCAAACCTGAAGACACCTCTGACTGAGGAATGTTGCTCTGTGTCTCATTACTGCCATGACACGCTACCGACTCAATATCCGGTGACCAGAAATGATTTTTCCACTATAAGATGTTTTTATTTATAGAGCACATTTTCAGCAACAAGGCTGTTCAAATGCTTTACATAAATTAAAAAGAAATAGAAACAAAACAATAAAGTAAAAAGGTAAAAAGATAAAAATATAAAAGTACATATTGGTTCCCCATGTTTAATAAGAAGAGGTAGTGCATAATTTCTAAAGTAGTAAAGGTTTCTCTGGATTCTTGTTCTGATAAAGCTAAACATTGTTTCCATTTGTTCTGGGTTGAGTTCCAGATTTGTACAATATAAAGCTAAATGTTGGTTCTCCATGTTTGATTCTTGTTCCGGGTTGTTAAGTAGATGGTACTTTCTAAGTTTGTTCTAGATTTGTAATCTAGCAGGAGTTTCTCTCGGTCTTGCTCCAATATTAAAAGTATAAAGCATGTCTTGAATGGCACCATGAGTTACTGGTCCGCACTGCTTATCCACCTCATTTGCTTTTTGCTGCTCCTTTTGAATGAACCTCAATTGGTTCTTTTGTAAACGGCAACCAATAATGTGCAAGTTTCATATTCTTTCAAATGTTTAAGATATACTCGAGAAATAAACTTAGCAGATAGGCAAATTTCCCAGAAATAATTTTAGATTATGTTCCACAGAAAAATCTTTGAGTAGATAAAGCCACTAGTGGGTCTCCACTCTGCTTAATTTATACCAAATTATTAAATATTGAATATTTTACTAACATCGGGTATTCTGATAAAAACTGGGATTCAAATCTGAGACTTGAACTTAAGTCATGATTCTGTTCCATTCATCTTAATTATTATTAATTATTACATTAGATTCTGTGTTCAGTTTGGGGCTGATTGAAGAAACCTTTCCTTGATGTCGATTATGTAAAACTTGCATAATATTACAGAATTTTATTCCTTTGTTTGCTTTGGTAAATAACCCAATGACCACTGGAAATCCAATGAGATCAGTTTCTATTACATTAATCTAAGACTTGATTTGTGGACTTCTCTGTTTTGTGGTGTGTAACATTAGCTTTGCTTTGGAGATGATAAATTTCTAAACTTATTTGAGTCTTGATTCTTTACATTTGACCCTATTTTCAGTCTCCCCGATTGGACACTTATTAAAAAAAAAGGTCAACAGTCAGTTGGCAGAGCTGTGTTGGTAAATCTACCACATTCATTTATTCCCTAAGTGATTCCCCTCTTTAACGAGGTCTGAGTCACACTCAGCATTCAAAACAAATGTGATATGTTACGTTCTGCTAACTGTTTGGCAATAATCCTCAGGGGACACTTACAATTGACAAATCCATTTCATTTCCTTCCCCTCATCCAGCGTGTCGTCATGCAGAGAGCGCCTCAGATAAACCGCAGGCTTTAGCACAGCTCAGTCAGACCAACCTTTCAGACCTTTCTTTTCATGCTGCCGACATATAGAGATTAGCAGCCTATTGTCAGGTTGTCAGAGCTGATCTGATTCCAGTGATGCTCTCTCTGATGATGCCAACTGTCAATGGTTCACAGAGCTGCAGCTGTCAGTGCTGTAATGAAAGTACTAAAAAGCAGAATATATATTAGCAGAAGGTTAGACTGAGCTTCTAGCAGTAATATGAACACAGAAATGAGGGCGTTACATTTCCATGTAATTGGTCTGCATGTGCCCTCCAGGCATATGAAAGGCAGGCAGCATGCAGTCACCCACCTCTGGCATTTTGTCCTAATTTGTTGCCTGAATGTCATGAGGTCGGATTAAAGGGGAAAAGACCCGTCAGCTTGTTGAAAGCCAGGTTCTTAGAAAGCAATAAACAACAATTGCACACTCACAGCACATATTTGCATACATGACCAGCAATTATATGAGCAAATTCGATTTCATTTTAACATCCACTGACTGATGCTACACTTGTGGCTAGGCTGTGACAAGGGATGGCAGCAGGCATTGCTTTGCCAAGCAATTGACACGATGCCACCTGTCAATCATTCCAGAGGGTTTGTCAGCAACTAGTCAAGCAACAGTTACACGCACCTTATCTGGAGAAACTGAACCTTTGACAACCATTGCCAAGGTTCATTGTTGCAAAGGTGCTGCAATCACAGAGATTAAAAAAATATAAATAAAACCATGGTGGTTAATTAATGATGATTAAAAGTACCTTTTAAAAATACCTTTCAGCAAGTATTAAGCATATTTTTCATTAGACCCACAATTATGAATTGAGAGCTAAGTTTAGTTCACATTGTTAAAACTCAATTATAGTTCCCCACCTAAACATTTTCCTCAAATTATCATTATGAACTAGTTTTAATTTTCCTATGAATCTTGTAATGAAATAGTCTTCAGTAGTACATAAATGATGACATTATGCATCAGTTAGCAGAATAATTATGTATTTCCTACATCTAGCTTGTCTTTGCCAACATGTTCAGTTTTTTCTTGTGAGAGCAACCACTTCTTTCTCTCACAAGAAGTGGTTGAATTATCTCAAAAACTGCTCATATATTCATCCATTGGCTGTCAAAAATAAAATTGAATATGAAATTTTCAACAAAAAGTTAAATATGCATGTTAAGTCTACATTTTGAAATATGGCCACCTTGGAAGTCTAATTCGGTTGGTGTTCTTTCATAAA